GCGCTCATCTCGCTTTATTGGCCGAGGGAGCTGGCATACATCTTCTGGATCATGTGGCCAGCATGACTAAACCGCTTCTGGCGAACCAGAGCAGCGTACGGAAACGCCGTTTACCTTTCCGCCGGAGCGGTACCTATTTATCTACTTGCACTTTGATGTGCTTTCGAACTGCTAGGTTGGCAGGAGCAGGGACTGAGCAATGGGAGATCAACCCGTCGTGGGGATTCGAACCTCCGACCTTCTGATCGGCAAGTCCTAGGCTCTGCGGTTTAACCCACAGTGCCACCCGCGTCCCTGAATTTATCTCACCCCCTTTTAAAAGCTGTTAGGCTGAGAGGCAATGGCTGGTCCCAAATCACCCAGTGAGCTTCATGGCTAAGTGGGGATTTTGGCCCTGGTCTCCCTAGTCCTGGTAAAACGCTCTTTAACATATGGCTAAAAAACCAAACCCTCAGGCACCTGAGGTTTGATTAGAACAAGGACTTGTGCCCTAGTTGTCAAACTCCAACTCCCATCAGCCCCCGTCAGCATGGTGGTTGGGAATGATGGGAGGAAGAATCCAACAACTGGAGGGCCCTAAAATGCAGCATCCTCAGAAACTGACCTCTTTTATTGCCTTCCCTAAACTAGTTCCAAACCTTGCTTCCTTTTGCATATAAAATTATGATAGCATATTTTTATGACCGGGAGAGAAACTTGCTGGTATAAATCCTCTTTTGAATCTCGTTCTATTGGCATGCTGAAGCATAATCTCTGATGGGGGAGTGAAAAGAATTCTCTAGGTAGATTTCATAAAACAAAGCTACGGATTTGCTATTAATAAGCTGTGACTCATGGTTGTTTTTTTCTAGCTCATTTTTTCTTTTTAAAAAATTGAGTGTCAGCAAGTGGATGTGGGGCAAGGGAGGGAGCTGCCATAAAGAGATGGCATTCCATGGTAATAGGATTTAGGATTAATGTATGTCATGGTAGATGGAAGGAATGTGGGTGGGGGAGTTTAACCATTCATTCTTTCCCATCATCCCCCATCTATTCTAGTATAGGAGTCGCAAGTTTTAACTAAAGGAAACCATTGTTAGGACTAATGAGGCTAAATGTTAAGCAAGAAATCTGTAACTCTGATAGCAAGGGGAGAACCACGTATGCCACCTTGAGTTCTTTGGAGAGAAGGTGGGATATAAATTAAATAAATGAAGTGTTTGTAACTGAACTATGAGTTGGTTATCTTAAAAATGATTTCAGTGTTTACGTGTTGCTTTTCGCAGGATTCTTTGTATGAGAACCTTGGTTGAAGGGTGGTCAAAAAATATAATTTAGGATTATAATTAAAAATGGGTACAGAGTGGAAGACCGACAAGGGTTTGGAAGCAGATATTAAAAGACTGAGCCTGCAGATTGCGCCAGCCCTAAGCTGAAATGGAGAAGTGTTGTGTGGGTTTTAATTAGATTCGGTCATGCTTGATGCGAAGTCGTATTGGGTTTCACCAAAGGCTACAGGCACTTTTGGCCACACTTGGAAGGGAAGGTTACACTGACGTAGCTGGGATCATAGTTCCTCTTGCAGCTAAGCTGCATTTGTGGCTGTGTGTGTGTGTGTGTGTGTGTGTAAAGTTTCTTGCTTGGAAGCTTTTTGAAAATTGTTTTAAATATGACAAGTGGGCCCTTTTATGGAAGGATAATAGAAATAGTTTGCTCTTGGCTGTATAACTGCTTTGCCCCATAATTCACTGCTGCTGCTTATCATGGTCAACTTAAAGGAAACAGCTGTCAAAAAAGAGAGACAGTGTGGTTTAGCAGTTAAGAGTGTTGCACTTGGCAGATCAGGGTTTAAATCCCCTCTTAGCTCCAAAGCTCACCGAGTGATCTTGAGACAGTCATGAGGGCTGCCGCTCAGTGGTAGAGCATCTGCAGTGTGTGCAGAAAGTCCCAGGTTGAACCCCTGGCATCTCAGGTGGGGCAGAGCATGTCCCCAGTCTGAAATCCTGGAGAGCTTCTACCACTCAGTTTAGCCAATACTGAGCTAGATGGACCAATGGTCTCACTCGGTATAAGGCAGCCTGTTGGGGTAGCCAACATGATGTCTTCTAAACGTTGTTGGACAACAGTTCCCATCATCTCTCCCTGTTGGTTATGCTGTCAGAGACTGATGGGAGCTGGGAGTCCATCAATATCTAGAGGGCACTTTTTTGGCTTCCTCTATCTTAGCCTGGGACGCGGGTGGCGCTGTGGGTAAAACCTCAGTGCCTAGGACTTGCCGATTGTATGGTCGGTGGTTCGAATCGCAGTGGTGGGGTGAGCTCCCGTCTTTCGGTCCCAGCTCCTGCCCACCTAGCAGTTCGAAAGCACCCCTAAGTGCAAGTAGATAAATAGGTACCGCTTTATAGCGGGAAGGTAAACGGCGTTTCTGTGTGCTGCGCTGGTGCCGGCTCGCCAGAGCAGCTTCGTCACGCTGGCCACGTGACCCGGAAGTGTCTCCGGACAGCGCTGGCCCCCGGCCTCTTAAGTGAGATGGGCGCACAACCCTAGAGTCGGACACGACTGGCCCGTACAGGCAGGGGTAAGGTAAAGGTAAAGGTACCCCTGCCCGTACGGGCCAGTCTTGACAGACTCTAGGGTTGTGCGCCCATCTCACTTAAGAGGCCGGGGGCCAGCGCTGTCCGGAGACACTTCCGGGTCACGTGGCCAGCGTGACAAAGCTGCATCTGGCGAGCCAGCGCAGCACATGGAAACGCCGTTTACCTTCCCACCAGTAAGCGGTCCCTATTTATCTACTTGCACCCAGGGGTGCTTTCGAACTGCTAGGTTGGCAGGCGCTGGGACTGAGCAACGGGAGCGCACCCCGCTGCGGGGATTCGAACCACCGACCTTTCGATCGGCAAGCCCTAGGCGCTGAGGCTTTTACCCACAGCGCCACCCGTGTCCCTACAGGCAGGGGTACCTTTACCTTTACCTTTATCTTAGCCTAGCCTAGCTTGTGAGGGTTGTTGTTGTTGTTAAAATTTGTATACTGCCCTATACTCAAAGGTCTCAGGGCAGTTACAACGTAAAATCACAATATAAAAACACAAAATGCATAATCGAAACAAAAACAACCCACTAAGATACAAGGGGCTGGGAAAGAGAACTGTGCCTGACACTGTCAGCTCCCTGGAGGAAAGTTGGGATATTGGTGTAGTAATAAAGCAATAGATAAAATAAAAGCAGGTCTATATGACTTAGCCTTTGTGAAGCAGATAACTTTTCAAAAGTTTGCCAATTGTATTAGAGACCCATCTAGTTTTCAGTGATGGGAGGTTTCCACACTTTGAAGTGTTTTGAATCCTTTTCTTCTTCTTTTTTGCAATAGAGGTTGCCAGCTTTTGGGTGGCCCTACACACCACTCTGTCCGGCCCTTGGAACTGTCCCAGGCCATGCCCCTCACTGGCCCTGCTTCCCAGCCTCTTTGAGTGCTTTTGCTTGTCTGGAATGTGTCCTTGAACTCTGATAACACCTCTTGCTTGCCTGGAGGGAGGGTAGAGAGAGGTGTGTGCATTCATTGCTCCACCCCCTTTTGCCTTTGGCCCTGCCCAACACTTGCACGTGGCCCCTGAGAGGCTGCCCCAGGAGGGAATGGGGCCCTTGGTCTGCAAATGACTCCCTACTCCTGATGTAAGGAAAGTCAGGTCACCGGCAGTTTCTGATCTTCTCGTGTTCAACCGAAAGCCTTCGTCTCCCGAAGGCTAGCTGACTTATTGAGCATGGAGTGCAGTGGCAGAAATGTAATCCAACATTTATGGGTTTAATAAAAGTTGAATAAGCTTCCATGCGCTGCAGCCTTATCTGTGCTCCAGCATGCAGAGACTCTTGGCAGCTCCGCCACTGGCAGGTCAGCATTGATACATAAAACAGGCGAGTTTGGTGAGAGCTCATTCCGCATGTGTTGTGCATGCAGGCAGCTCTTCTGGGTTCGGTACATTCAGTGCAATCTCCTCCAGATAGCTGGGTACTCTTCCTTCATGTTGCCACAGCTGTAATAAGCAGCAGCTTTAAAATTATTTCTGTATTTATAGCTGATAATAGAATTCACAGTGTCTTGATAATGAAACTGATGGTGGTGGTGGTGGTGATTTGTACAGCACCTAACATCTTAGAAACATGGCACAGATGTTTTCCAGACTACAGCAGTCCCTGCCAGCCTGGGGGCTCACAGTCGGATAGACCGGATACTAAAGGGGGAAAGCAAGCAAAAATTCAAGTGCTAAAGTTCCAAAAAATTATGTGATTGTTTTTCTCATGGCTGGCTGGAATGGCTGCTGACCAAACAGCAGTTGGTGCCTGGTTAGCTGATGGTTTGGGCCTCAGTTAAGAGATATTATTATTATTCCCCATTAAGTGGCATATGCATTTTATGAATACAGTGGTACCTTGGGTTACAAACACCTCAGGTTACAAACACTTCAGGTTACAGACTCTGCTAACCCGGAAGTAGTACCTCGGGTTAAGAACTTTACCTCAGGATGAGAACAGAAATTGTGCGGCGGTGGCGCAGCGGTAGCGGGAGGCCCCATTAGCTAAAGTGGTACCTCAGATTAAGAACGGTTTCGGGTTAAGAACCGACCTCCGGAACAAATTAAGTACATAACAAGAGGTACCACTGACATGAAATCAAATCAAACCATGATAAAAAACTTCCATGTTCAGAGGCAGTATAGCACAGTGAGTATCAGATACCAGAGGATTCCATCTCTGAAGCCTTTGTTATATCTAGGCTTGCGTATATTTGTGTGTGTGTGTGTCTTTACAGTTTTACTTATAGTGGGGGCTGTAGCATACAGGACCACAGGCAAAATGTGGGGCAAAGACTCCAGAAATCGACAGGCCGTTGGGTATCTATACAAGCCCAGACCACATAGTGCTCCACTTCCTGTTTTTTGTTTTCTCTTGCATCCTGCTCCAAAGTGGCAATGCAGGCTTCATACTTGCCTGAAAACTCAGCCTGTTCCTTTTTTGCTGTTTTGCAGGAGAATGCAAAGAATTGGAGTCATGTGACAAGTGCATTGAAGGAGATGCTACTCTGAACATCACGAACTGCGTGTGGATGCACTGCCGAGAGTCTGAGGAGAAGCCAGGTAAGCTGCGGCAGGTGGTGGGGGATGCTTGCCACAAACTCAGTTCATATACCTTACAAAGAATGGCCCAATTCTACATGTTCTCTGCAAAGTGGAACATATTTGCCTAAAGTAATTCCATTTCCCTGCCTTATCCTCCCAGTGCTTTGAGTTTCTGTAATGGCTTCCCTCTTCTCCTCCAGATGGTCAAAGAATTCCGTCATGGTGTGCGTGCTACATAATGCTGCCAGGTCCAATGATTTGCTCACCTAGCTCAGTATTGTCTGCTCTGACTTACCATCACCTGCCACCTCTTTTCAGTGGATGATGCATGTGCTCTGCCATTGCGCTGTGGTTACTTCTTCAGCTCAGTATTGTCTACTCTGACTGGCAGCAGCTCTCCAGGGTCCCAAGAAGAGAAGAAATGGTTTGGGAGTAAGGGGCAGGCAGTTGGAGAGCTAGAGAGGATGGGTGGAGGTCATCGGGGGGAGCAGGAGCTGCATCAAACTCTTCATCCATGGAGTGGAGATGCTGTGTACATCTCCAAAAGTGAAAATTGAAGTTTTTCATTTTTGGACTTTTCTTTGATTCTTAAAGGGTTTTTTTTTAAAAAAATAAACACTAGCCCAACTTGCCCTACATGCGAGTTTTCCAGGACATTTTGCCGATTCAGCAAAAATCCGCCTGGACACCATTTTGCAGAGCGATTCCCAGACATGTCTGGGAGAACCCAGACGTCTGGCAGCCCTAAATGTGTACATCTCATGCATCACTGAAACCAAGACAATGTAATTTTCCAGGTGGTCACCCATCCAGGCACTGACCCAGACCCAAACCTGCTTAGCTGGTGGCTTTGTGGACCTTCAGACCATACCCTAGGACCAGGCCTTGCATGCAGGAGGTCTCAAGGTTCAATCCCTACCATCTCTTGTTAAAAGGATTCGGCACCAACCAGATGATGGGAAAGACCCTCTTCTGAGACTTGGATAGACAATACTGGACTAGATGGAGAAATAGCCAGACCGCTTCCCTTTTCCTCTGAGCATTCTCAAGAGCCACCCCACCTTACACAAGATGTTAGGAAGCCACAAAATGGTGCATCCAGCCCTTTTCTGTCTTCTCTGGCTGGTTCTGGCTCTCCAATGGGGCCACCGGCCCCTTCTCACTGGAGGTGCCAGAATCTCTGGCACATATGCCTTGCGCTTCGTCAGTTGTCACCTTCTCCAAGGACCACTCAGTCCCTGACTTGCTGGATGTGCAAGGGGCAATATGCCTCTGAATAAAAGTCACTGGGAGTCACAAGTAGGGGAGGGCTGATCCTTAGGCCTGATCTAGCAGGACTCTTCTTACATCCTTTACATGGCCTTCTGCCTTCCACTTGTCTTGCTTGAAAGCAAAAAGCAAAGGACCTTGCTACTTTAAGGTCTATGCCCTGGCTGATACTTGGAAATCCCTCCTTCCATTTTGCTGGGAGTTTGTGGCTACCCCTCTGAGTGGAATCGCCGCAAGCTCTGCATCTGTGTCGGTTTGTGTACTTCGTTTGTTGCCATGACTGCCATCCCCAGGGGGATAGATAGATGGGAGCCACACAGAAAGAGCCTTCTGCTCTCTGCTGGTTCAGAAACAAACTCCCATCTCACAACGTTGTCCTGGAAGCTCCTGCCGAAGTGCTTATCTTCGTATGGAGAAGGAACAGGGGGTGGTGTCCTGCCCATTTCCTTGCTGCTACATGGCCCTTTTGTCCACTTCATCAGGTGTGCAGACTACCCAGAGCCCTACTTGCTACAGCAGGTGGAAGAAGGGTGAGGCGAAAGATGGGAGAGATTTGGTTAGGAACGTAGGAACCTGCCTTATGCTCAGTCCATTGGTCCATCCACCTCAACATTGTCCACACTGACCGGCAGCTGTTCTCTGGGATCCCAGACTGTGTTCTTTCCCAGACTGAGATGCTAAGGAAAGAACCCCGGGGCCTTCTGCATGCAGAGCAGATGCTCAGCCATTGAGCTACAGCCGCTTCCCAATAGAATCATAGAATCATAGAGTTGGAAGAGACCACAAGGGCCATCGAGTCCAACCCCCTGCCAAGCAGGAAACACCATCAGAGCACTCCTGACATATGGTTGTCAAGCCTCTGCTTAAAGACCTCCAAAGAAGGAGACTCCACCACACTCCTTGGCAGCAAATTCCACTGTCGAACAGCTCTTACTGTCAGGAAGTTCTTCCTAATGTTTAGGTGGAATCTTCTTTCTTGTAGTTTGGATCCATTGCTCCGTGTCCGCTTCTCTGGAGCAACAGAAAACAACCTTTCTCCCTCCTCTACGTGACATCCTTTTATATATTTGAACATGGCTATCATATCACCCCTTAACCTCCTCTTCTCCAGGCTAAACATGCCCAGCTCCCTTAGCCGTTCCTCATAAGGCATCATTTCCAGGCCTTTGACCATTTTGGTTGCCCTCCTCTGGACACGTTCCAGTTTGTCAGTGTCCTTCTTGAACTGTGGTGCCCAGAACTGGACACAGTACTCCAGGTGAGGTCTGACCAGAGCAGAATACAGTGGCACTATTACTTCCCTTGATCTAGATGCTATACTCCTATTGATGAGGCCCAGAATTGCATTGGCTTTTTTAGCTGCCGCGTCACACTGTTGGCTCATGTCAAGTTGGTGGTCAACCAAGACTCCTAGATCCTTTTCACATGTACTGCTCTCAAGCCAGGTGTCCCCCATCTTGTATTTGTGCCTCTCATTTTTTTTGCCCAAGTGCAATACTTTACATTTCTCCCTGTTAAAATTCATCTTGTTTGTTTTGGCCCAGTTCTCTAATCTGTCAAGGTCGTTTTGAAGTGTGATCCTGTCCTCTGGGGTGTTAGCCACCCCTCCCAGTTTGGTGTCATCTGCAAATTTGATCAGGATGCCCTTGAGTCCATCATCCAAGTCGTTGATAAAGATGTTGAATAAGACCGGGCCCAAGACAGAACCCTGTGGCACCCCACTAGTCACTCTTCTCCAGGATGAAGAGGAACCATTGATGAGCACCCTTTGGGTTCGGTCAGTCAGCCAGTTACAAATCCACTGAGTGGTAGCATAGTCAAGACCGCATTTTACCAGCTTCTTTACAAGAATATCATGGGGCACCTTGTCAAATGCCTTGCTGAAATCAAGGTAGACTACATCCACTGCGTTCCCTTCATCTACCAGGCTTGTAATTCTGTCAAAAAACGAGATCAGGTTAGTCTGACATGACTTATTTTTCAGAAATCCATGCTGACTATTGGTGATCACAGCATTCCTTTCTAGGTGCTAATACAAGAAGCTGCCTTCTTCTGAGTCAGACCTTTGGTCCATGTAGCTCAAACAGTCCCAGGAAGTATAGCCAATGGGGGGCGGTGCCCCCTGGGTGCCATCTCTAAGAGGGGTGACAAGAAAGCACCCTGCGGGGGGCTCGCCCCGCCACCCCTGGGCTCAGCAGCGCAAGCTGCCAAAATCATGCAGCCGTCGCGTGCGGAGGATTGTCCACTTGTGACTGCAGCAGCGGTGGAGGGATCCCACCGCTGTCCGTATGGCGCTCGAGCAGCACCGTCGGCAAACTGCCCCATGGCGCATGTACAATGCCGCTATATACTGTGCATGCTACGTACAGCGCATGCCGGGCTGTTTGCCCCGCTCCTGACACCCCGCATTGGGTGCTGGTTAGCCTTCCTTCGTCCCTGTCTGGAGGGCCAAATGTTCCCCACCCCTGATCTCAGGTGAAGGTGTCCTGGATAGCAGTTGCATCTCCCACCCAGCAAACTCTAGAGTGGATCCTTCTTTCAGGAAAGGTTTGGGTTGTCAAGATTTCCTCTGGTGCTAATTCCCCACTCCACATTCTTCACTATCTAGTTAATACAAGTTACAGGTAGGTAGCCGTGTTGGTCTGCCGTAGTTGAAACAAAATAAAAAAAATTCCTTCCAGTAGCACCTTAGAGACCAACTAAGTTTGTTATTGGTATGAGCTTTCGTGTATCTGAAGAAGTGTGCATGCACACGAAAGCTCATACCAATAACAAACTTAGTTCGTCTCTAAGGCGCTACTAGTTAATACAACTGTGTATCCCTGTATAGGGAAGTTTTTAATGTTTGATGTTTTGTCATACTTTTATATTTGTTGGAAGCCTTCCAGAGTGGCTGGAGCAATCCAGTCAGATGGGCACGATGTTGTTGTTGTTGTTGTCACTCACTCACTCACTCACTCACTCACTCACTCACTCACTCCTGTGTTAAATCATGCTTCCTGTTGACTGCAGCATCCCTTTCCAGGTATGCTTCCCTCTTGCCATCACAATTGTGTGGTGAGGAGGGCAGCAGGGTGATGCCTACTTAGCTCCCCGCACCGTCTCTTGCATCTGCATCAGCCCCGTCTTCCACACCCTTTGGGGAGGGGGAAGATCAGATGACCTGAGCATGCTCTATGCAAGCAGGATTCTAAATCACACCCGGAACCTAAGGTCCCATCTGCACCATGCATTTGAAGCATTCTTAGACCAATTTAACAGTCCTGGAGTCATGTTAAGAGTGCTTAGAATTGTAGGTCTATGTGGCCAGGACCTGTAACAAGCTGCAGTTCCCAGGATTCTTTGGAGGAAGCCATATGGTGTGGGTGTGACCCTGCAGAGTAGCCAACATGGCAGCCTCCAAACGTTGTTGGACTGCAACTCCCATCAGCCCCAGCCAGCATAGCCAATGTTCAGGGATGATGGGAGCTGTAGTTCAGCAACATCTGGAGGACATCTCGTTGGCTAGCGATCTATGTGTGACTCCTCTTTCCAGACCTTCACCCAACGTTCAGGGGCGGGTGAGGAGACAGCAGACATGGCACATGATGCCAGTCACGTGATGTGAACCCCAGAATATGGCTTGTCTTTCACTTTGTTTCTGGTTGCATAGCCCTGTATAAAAGAGTGGGGGAAATGTGTGTTTGGGGGAGAGGGAGACATGCAGGATTTTCAGTGTGGCTTGGTTTCTCTCCTCTATCCTCAGGTTCCGGTAGCTGTGTTGTGAAGGGAGAGCCAGCCAAGGAGAAGTGTCACTTTTACAATGTCACTACCAGGTGTGAAGGTAATGCTTTTCTGCCCAACCACTGATCACCATGCTGTCTGTTAGGCCACATCATCTGCCTCAGGACCTTTGCCTCTGCCTGTTCATTCTGGAACCTGATCACCAGGACCTCCTCAAACATTTTTCTTGCTTATGACTCTTGATACAGAAGCAAGAAGGAACTAGGGAGATGTTCTGTTCTGGGTGGGGTGGCACTTCCTCCCTGAAGGATCAGAAAAGTATCTGGGGGGGGGGGGAGACTCCCTGATCTGGAGGGCCACAGGTTCTTTATCTCTGACATAGAGGACACTTTCACATGACCAGCTGGAGGAGTCCTCTTCAAACCATTTGCCCATCTGATCCAATACAGGCTGCCCTTACTGACATCTTATCAGGCATCTTTATGGAATGTCTTGCTATAAGGTACATAAGGGTTCATTCCTAGCTATTGATGTTAACAGCTGTTCATGTCTATTCATTCATGTTCTACAGCTGTCTAAATAAAAACAGCACTAATAAATAAATAAATAAATAGTTAAATCACAAAAAGCAGATGCATTTAAAACAAAACTGAAACAATACAAAATATTCGCTCGTGGCAAATATCCATTTATCCAGCTATGAAAGCTTGCCCTACCATGTTCAGTAGTTTCCAGAAAGTGCAGACATTGGGAGCCGTTTGTATCTTGACACAGGCAAGATGGTTTCCATTAAGATCTAGCTCTGTCCTGTGGGGCAGTAGATAACAAATCTTTGTCTTTTCCCTTCAGGTATTTGAATGACTACTTTTTTATTAGTTTGCTCTAATTATTCTACTTTATATAAATGTAGTGTGGCTTTTCTTGTTACCGAGTGTGCATAACCCTGAGTGTGCTTCTCTAATGTGATGATCTGCTTGGATAATGCAATGTGTGGTAGGGAAATTTTCTTGTAGGAAAGAGGTGTGGGTTGACCTCCCCCCCACCCCCCTGCTAATGATGGTTCTTTTCTTAGCATCCGAAGCAACCACCAAGCAACCTCCACAGCCAACCACCAAAGAGCCTCCAAAACCAGCCACTAAGGAGCATGAGATCATCACACTTGGTAAGTGTGATTCCCCTTATCTTTTGCGCATTGGAGAAGGGGAGGGTTTGAATGTTGGTGAGCTAGTGCTAGAGCATCTCCAAGTGGGGAATGCAGAGCAGCTTCTTGGTGGTCATATGTGCTCCAGGCACTGTTTTCCTTAGCAAGCCCTTCTGTTGTGGTAAACAGTTGTCACTCGGGGAACAGGACCACAGCTTACCTTGAGACGTGAGATCAAACATGGCTGATTGCATCACCACCTTACCTAAGTAGAACTAGGATCTTCCTATTTTCCTAAACCCAGAGTCTCAGTGTGATTGTATCCAGGGCAAAGTGTGCTTCTCCAACAATTTGGACTTTTAGAAGACATCTGAAGGCAGCCCTGTTTAGGAAAGGTTTTAGTATTTGATTAATTATTGTATTTTAATACTTTGTTGGAGTGGCTGAGGAAACTATTATTATTATTATTATTATTATTAGGATTCAGTTCAGATTCTGCTTAGAATTTAGCTCCAAATCTTCCCACCTACAAGCCCACAACATGTTCCCAATTCTACATGGAGGGTCATTCAGACCTCACCTTTGAAAAATGACTGTGCTTTTAGCAGCAATTTAGAAGAGAGCAAGACTTCCCACCACTATTTCAGGTGAAAATTAAGGGGCTTTAATAAAATAAAACAGATCATTTTGCTATTGCCAAGAGGCCTGGCAAACTCTTGCTGTACACCATTGCTGGTTTGGATGAGAAAGCTTAACAAGGCAGGCCAAAGGAATGGAAAGGGAAAAGCTAGCTAATAAAGAAGTGAAGGAGAGATGGATGGATATGTTCTCAGAGAGAATGAATCTTCCTGCCGAAAAGAAGAACAAGAATTGAAGAGCTTTGGGCTAATTAAAGTGAGTAACTCTATCCTGAATCCTTGTGAATTATTGATCCAGCGCAGGCTCCCGACGGGAAGTTCTATGCACTCATTTATCTCTGCGTGAGCGAAGGCTCCTGTTTTTTGGCTTCCACACCAGTCTTGCCCACACTGTGTTTAACTGCTTCCTCTGTTTCCTTGCAAAGTGCACCCCTTCAGTAGCAATGCTGCAGCATTGCGTGGCTGCTTTTGTGATGGAGATGCGAAACACTTGGCTGGGTGGTGAATGCACAGTCCGTGGAACGAAGGTTTAAGTTCTAGCAGCTAAGCCTTTGCAATAGGACCTGTACATGAGCTGACTAGTGCGGCATAGTGGAAGACAAGAAGAAGAAGCTTGCAACAAAATGATGCTTTTCGATCCTTACATCTTGTAAAGTGAGGGGTAAGGTTGGCCAGGAGGTGCCATTTCAGACCTCCCGCCCCAGCCACCTAATCTCTTTCACCATCAGGAAAGCTTGAATTGTGATTTTTGACTGTGACCCATTAACATTGCTAGGGGGAGTTTTTGGCGAACGCAAGAAATTCAGGCTGCAGAGGCTGTTGGAATTTCTGTGCAACAGATCATCATAAGACTTGCAGGGGGCTTGGTACCCCCTGTACGCTGCAGGAAATTCTGGAGATAACCAAGAGTATGTACCACTCTGGCAAGACAGTGCGCAGGCAGGTAGATTCTCAGCATACCAAATGGAACTGGTAGACAGCCACCTTGGATACAGAATTAACCTGCACCTCCATGGACAGCTGTGAGTCCGAAATGACTCCCAGGCTGCACACCTGGTCCTTCAGGGGCACAGTTACTCCATTCAAGACCAGGGAGTTCCCCATACCTGCCAGCCTCCTGCCCCACCAAAACAGTACTTCTTTCTTGTCAAGATTCAGCCTCATCCATTCTCCAACTGCCTCCAGATAGTAATAGTAATACCTTGAGCTTGGCAAATCAACAACTAGCACAGATCTCTGAGCAGAGGTGTTATATGGTCTGTGGCCAAGCCTCCGTACAGGTCTTCGTCAGCTCAAACTTCAGAGCTCTCTCTAAAGTTAGTACAGTACTGATACCTTACTCCGGGACTGCTCTCCATTGTGCACACAGGTCCATCTTCACTGTGCTGGAGGGGCTGCTGTGTAGTTGGTACATAGAAGCACATGTGGGACTGCTCAGAGGTGGCTGAATTTTTGAATAAGTTGTTAGCTGGGATTTTTTTTATGACGGAACTAATCATTACTCCATCTTTGGAACCTGTATATGAAAACAAAATCTTGTTGTCATTTTGTGTATTGTATACAGCCTTGTAGCATTTTTATGAAACGTGCAGCCTATAAATGCTTAAATATTATTGTATAAGCGATTCAATACAAAATACACGCTTCCCCCACCCCCCCAAAAAAATCCCCCACTCAATCTGGAGGGGCCAGTAATAGTGAGTTAATGGACGGGTGGGAAAGTAAAGAATATGATCTCTCAGTTGTAAACTCTTTCAAGAACATGCAAGTCAAACCAGCATTGCCTACACTGATTGGCAGTGGCTCTCTAGTATTTTTGTGCAGGGGTGTCTTCTGCGTATAAAGCAGATACTCTTCCCACATTGAGCTGCAGCCTTTTCCCTTTTTGCCAGGTACCTTCACAACCCCCTTGCTCTGTCTCCCCCCAGGTACAACGGCCAGCCCTCCGCTAACTGACTCCCCGGAGTTCCACCCGCCAGGATTTGACTCTGCCAGCTTCATCGGGGGAATCATCCTGGTACTCAGCCTCCAAGCCGTTGTCTTTTTCGTGGTGAAATTCCTCAAGGCAAAGGACAGCACCTATCAGACACTGTAAGTTCCCTAGAAGCAGCTGGGAGCAGGGGGGTTTTTTGGTGGTGGTGGGGGAAATGTGCTGTCCTCTAAGAAGCAGAGAGGGAGATGGTCTGTCCGTAAGAACATTCTGATCTTCATTTTGGGGTAGTTTCCAAAGCAATTGCTTTGTTTAATCTGTGGCATCTTCAAAGACTGACAGCTTTATTATGGCATGAGCTTGGTGCACAAAAGCGCCTGCCATAATATGTTTGATGGTCTTTAAGATGCCTCAGGGCCTTTTGTTGTTTTTCATTTGGTGCCCAGGCTATAATAGTTTAGACCAGGGTCACATCAACACCTTACATTTAAAGTGCTCTTTTGTCATGGCTCCCCCCAAAGAATCCTGGGAAGTGTAGTTTATTAAGGGTGCTGAGAGTTGCTAGGAACTAACAGAACTCAATTTTTGAGTGGTTTTACTCTCAACCGCTCTTGTTAGGGAACTTAGGAAATTAGAGCTCCTACCTCTAAGCACCTTTAACAAATGACTGTTCCCATGATGCTTTGAGACATGGAGGAGCCATGACTGTAAAAGTGGTAGACTGGTGTTTTAAATTATGGTGTGGATGTGGCCCAGGGCAGTTAAGAAACTATATTCATTAAAAAAAATAAGACAATGGGGTAGTGTTAGTGGGAAAGTTACTGGAACTGACTACTCACAGATGAAGACCGAGAGCATCCAGTGGGATGCAAAGCCTGCCTTCATGATGGTCGGCCATCTTGTATCACACAATAATTTACCGTGTGTTTTCAAAATGGCTGTTCAGGCTGTGAGTTTCAGCTCTCCTGCTGTCTTCATTTCTCCACCCCACCCCCAGTTTGTCTTCTGTGCGTTTTAGGGGGATAAAGCACGGCAGATCAGCTCTTATATCCCTCTAAACACAGAAATAGAGGGATCTTACGCTTGACAACCTTCCTCCCCTCTTCCCCACCTTCGCATTATTCCTGTGTACCTTGCAACCAGTTTTTCCCTTCGTTGCTGCTGTGCAATTCTCACATACATGCTACTGACTGTGTTCAAGGACTGGCAGTTTGACATGCCACTGAGCTCAGTACTCTTTTGTGCCGAGGAAGGGGCTGGTCCAGCCTACTCACACCACATAACTTTTAGTGAAGGCTCATTTATTTCCTCAACACAGATATTTGCAGTCTTCTCATATCCAACCCCATGACTGGCTGTCTGCAGTTCTGGGTTTCTCTGTCGTCTTCCTCCTTTGTTCTGCTTTCTCTCCCTCTATCCCCTGGCTGCAAAACTGTGACTCACTTTAAACGAGGACTCTGGATCTTTAAGAAGGGCAGCAAAGCAAAGCTTTGAAATTTTAATTATTATTTAAAAATCTTTCTCACATTCATTATGGCTGTGTTGTGATTACGGCTCTCTTTAGATGTCCCAAAGTGGCAGCAGGTAGAGGCGTTCACATGCTACATTCAGTGTCAGCATACCTGTGAACACAGATAGTTCAGCTGCACACTTGTACAGTTATTCACATGTAACATTCAACGAGTGTACAGTCTATGTATGCAGTAGCTGAGCTGTTTTACACAAACACATGTGCCTGTGTAGAAACAGCTTGTACTTGTGTTTAGTGTAATGTGTGAACATGCCTTAAAACACTGATGTGTGTGTGACATCAGTGGCTACTTTCACACACCTAGGGTCCCTGTTTTTATTATCTTTCTCATTCCCCTGGGTTGCTATTTTCATTGTCCTCCAATTTATGGAAGCCAACTGTCTGCAGCAGGGAACGGTTTCTCTGTGAATATAAGAATAGCTGTGCAGGATTACACCAGTGGCCCATCTAGTCCAGCATCCTGTCCTCACTGTGGCCAACCAGATGCCTTAGGGAAGTCTGCAAACAGGGCCTGAGCTCAACAGAGCCCTCCCCACTTGCGGTTACCAGCCGCTGGCAATCGGAGGCATACTGCCTCCATCAGTGGAGGTACAACACTTTTAGAAAAGCGTGCTTGAGCTGGGCTCCTTTGGGAGGAAGGGCAGGCTTCAAAAATTGGTATAAAAACCAATTACAAAAAAAGCAAAAGACACGGAGAAAATTAAATTACCCTATACAATAAAAATAAAGGAAATAAATATAGTAATAGCATGGCCCTCCAATCTAGAACTCTCCTAATCCACATCAAGGCCTCACACCAGAATGGGGCCTTGTGCCATTTTCCTCGCGACACCTTCCCACAAGCTGATATTTCCCTGTGAAGTTGGTGCTGTTTACTGTAAGCAGCACTTTCAGAGGGCAAATAGCTGGAGGGGGGAGAGTGAAAGTGTTGTCTGTGGCGAACCAACCCCAGACTGAGAGTACATCTTTGGGACTGATGTTTTATCCATATAACGAGGGGCCAGTTTGAGCATACTTTGCTAAATTGCAAAAGCTATAACTTGTGGTTTGCCCTACTCAAAGTAGGTTATACTTTTGTCGGCAGGTGGTGAACAAAATCCTAGCCAAATAGCTCTCCATCCCTGCTGTGTGTAACCTTTGGTCAGTGTTAAAGGAAATTTCAAATGTTCTGTGAGGGTCTCTCCTCGCATGCACCCAACAATATTAAGGGTTTCTCATCTGTATCTTCTGCTGCCATCTCTGTCTCCGACAGACCCTTTCAGAGAATCACCAGCTGGGTTCTCCTCCTCTCAATCTGTCCTTGATTCTCTTTCTTTCTTTCCTCCCACCCACCTCTCACAGGAGAGTGTGGGATCAAAAGATATCTTTAAGCCTGCTTTACACAATGATGCTTTCTCCTACACAGGTACTCCACTGACATAGTCATGTTTGGATTATGGCATGAGCATCATCTCATGTGTGCATCAGTTGTGTGTGCTAGGAAGCCAGTTGGGCAGGGCCTGTTATGGAGTGAAGTGACTGCCTCAGGTGGCAAGTGCTTGGGGGCTGGCAGTGGGTGATGACGGGTTGAGAGGCCAGAGCTGTGTCTGCAACACAGCCTGGCCTGCACACCCAGCTAGCCTGTTGTCCTGTGGTACGCTGGACAATTCACCAGTGTTGACTTCATTTGAAAGTCCAGTTGGCTTCTGAACATGGAATGAGGGTGGTGGTACCATTTTGGTCTTTGCCTCAGAGGGCAGCAATGACTGCACACACACACACTATACTCTTAAAGCACATGACTCTCCCCCCCCCAAATAATCCTGCAAACTGTAGTTTGTTAGGGGTGCTGGGAAGTGCAGCTCAGTGAGGGGTAAACTACAGTTCCCAGGATTCTTTGGGGCAAGCAGTGTGCTTTAAATGTATGGTGCGTACACAGTCAATGTCTTCAGCCTTGAAGTTGGATATATGTAAAGAAAAATACCTCTGTGTAGGAAAGGGTGCTCAAACTTCCCTTAGCAAATTTGGCTGGGTCTTAGTTGAATCTTTTTGCCCCAGTGTTGGATCTCTTCTCAGTCAAGGCTCAGTTTAAACAGTGGGCCAGCTAGGAACACATTATTGGGGGCCATGGAGGAAGAATTTGAGGCAAGATAAGACAGTTGTTGGGGCGCGGGTGGCGCTGTGGGTAAAAGCCTCAGCGCCTAGGGCTTGCCGATTGAAAGGTCGGCGGTTCAAATCCCCGTGGCGGGGTGCGCTCCTGTTGTTCGGTCCCAGCGCCTGCCAACCTAGCAGTTCGAAAGCACCCCCGGGTGCAAGTAGATAAATAGGGACCGCTTACTAGCGGGAAGGTAAACGGCGTTTCCGTGTGCGGCTCTGGCTCGCCAGAGCAGCGATGTCACGCTGGCCACGTGACCCGGAAGTGTCTCCGGACAGCGCTGGCCCCCGGCCTCTTGAGTGAGATGGGCGCACAACCCTAGAGTCTGTCAAGACTGGCCCGTACGGGCAGGGGTACCTTTACCTTTACCTTAAGACAGTTGTATCCCTTTGCCCAAAGCCTTGGACCGTATTTGCAGCTTTTTAAGTAATAAAAAAAGCTGTGCGAGCCAAAGCCTGCCAATGTTCCTTTCCAGCTTTTAAAACATCCTTGGGCAGCTGGCTCCCTTCCAAAGCCAGTTTGGCAAAATCACTTCAGGAGCCTTGCTATTGAAGGCTTAACTTCCTTGATGATTGCAGCCATGCGTGATCCCCAAATTTTGACGGTGGGTGCGTTTGCTCATGCTGATTCCTGCCCTAAATTGTAATTGTTCAGGCACCTTGAGAGAGGGGTTTGTTTGGCATTCCAGCACTGGGGAAAGCTGCCGCTATTGGGGGTGGCTGGGATGTCAGCCAGACAGTGATCGCTGCTGTTTTTTGTTTGCAGCATCCCTCTCACTCTCTTATTTCTGTTTGTGTAACAAATTGCTTAGCCCTTGCTTGATTCTATTCCCAATAGAACATTGGACTCATTCAGGCTATCTTTTGCCCCATACTTTCCAGGCACAGGCCTGCACTTTAAAGCTTTGTGCCCGAGTGGGGGTTTTTTCCCCTGTCGCTTTTCCCAGGAAAACCCACGTTTTACTGCTGAATCAGAGCAAATGGCAATTTGCAGAAAACTGAGCTAGTGTTGAAATGCAGGTTTTCGCAGGGAAAGCACTGGGACAAACAAACAAGCAAACAAATGTTCAAACATGGGGCTGTAAAGCCCAGATCCGTGCCTAGTAACACAGCACAAAAGGTAGTTTGGATGAACCCATTGCTCCTGTCATTTTTCAGAACTCTCTGAAAGGCAGGTGCATCTCACCTCCCGACAAAAAAACCAAATAGTGGTGCATTTATGAGGAGGACTGGCCTTGCTGAAAATTCAGAGTTCTTTAAAGGGAACAGAAGCTCTGCCCTTCTGGGGGTAGCCCCCATCTTAATTGGGAGCATAAAGTACAAATCTCTTAACTCCTTATTCTCTCTTAACTTGGTCCATGCTGCTTCTCTGTTCTTAACTGTACCCCTGTCCTTGGCTCCAAACTAAAGCTTATAATTTTGCCATAGCTCTATTATGTCCATTCCTCTCCAGTCCCTGTTAACCAGAGCACTAATACTAGCCAAGGGGAACCTTCTATTTATTTGGCGTATCAGTGACTCTCTACCAGAAATGTGTGTATTGGGCGTGTTTAAAGGGGCATTGTGCTTTGATATTGTCTCTAACGTCATGTCCCCAATTACCATCTCCCCACCCCCCTTTTTTTGTATCTTCCTTGCACGCTGCCTGTCGTCAGAGAGGACAACCAGCAGTAGGTGTAGCTGTGTGTGAAAGAACAGTGGGAAGTAATGGGCTGTCTCTGGAACCAGGAAAATCTACGAACCTTCTCTTAGACCCACTCCCTTCGTGGGGCTCTTTCCTCAGAGCCAAGAAAGGCTATTATGGGCCTGTTTTTATGCATTCAGCAGCATCAAATGATCTTGATTTTCCTGGACCATAGAACATTAGCCTGCTGCGAGGAGCTTGCATGTTTGATTGTTCCTCCTTGCACATAGAAATGTAGCATGTCTTCAGAGAAAGCTATCTTGAAATCCCTGGCCTTTTAGTTTTTCATGTGCAAGTGATTTTATATATATGCAGGAATATTCAAATGTGCATCCTTCTCTTCCATGCTGAAGTGGTACAGGCCAGGGAAATCCTTAACTCCTGGCTTCTGCTGAAGGCATAAAACTGTCTCTGGGGATCCTGCTTACATTTTGCTTTTCCCTTTTCCTGCATTCAGCAGAGGGGTGGATGGAGAACAGGGACTGCTTTGAACTGAATACTGTTAACTTTCTGATTGATTGTGTGTGTAACGGGAATGTGCAAACAACCAGCTCTTGTTTGCTTTTGAAACTATGGGCCTTCCCTAGGGATGAGCAGTGGAGATGAGCTGTTCAGAGCTGACCAGAGTCTCTCTGTCTCCCTCCTCTGCTCCCCCTATTTATTTTTTTGACGGAGAGCATGACCACATGTTACATTTGCCACGAGAGAGCAGCTGAATCTCAAAGGTTTTTCCAACAACTGGCGGACACAGAAATTACACACTGAGTGGCGTAGGATCTACTTGCTTGCTAGCATAGCCAATAAGAAAAGAGAGATGGGGAGACGGGAGGGGGAAATTGGGTCAGGAGATAAAAACGACCAAACAGCAGCTCCACTTTCATCTGTGTGTGCAAATTCTAACTCCTCCATCCCTTTCCCTTAGGCTCAAAACAACGCATCGCGTTAATTATGTAGTGTGCAGGTACTTCTTGAGGTTTTTTAAAATGAATACCTAGTGCAGGAGGTTGGGGAAGTTGCTACAGAGAATATAGGTCGCAGGGACTGTGGTCAAATCCTTCCCTCTCCCACCACTGGAGGCTGGTCTGTGAGGGCAAATGGGGCACTGCCCCACCGGCCTCAGTGTACCCTTAGCCTGGCTCCACCTGCCTGTCTTTGTACTTAACAAACGGTCCAGGGAGTGCCTGAGACTGTCAGCCTCCTCCTTAGTCTCAGTATTGCCTTGTAGAAATGAGCAGGGAGGAGGGCTGCAACAAAACTAGAATTGGGTTGCTCCACCTGTCACTGGCTCTACCTGCTGTTGGTCACCCTACCAGGCTCCTTGCATGCTATACCTTTAAATTTAGGGGAGTGTGACTGGTTCGGTTCAGTTGAATTGGGTGCAGAGCCTTGGGGGGCAGTGCAATGATTATTTAGAGGTGTGGGGGCACCACATTTTGGTGTCTCACAGGGCACATCTGAAATTTGAGACCCCAAGGTGTGCTGCTGCTTTAAAACACATTTGAAGTGCCCCCCCCCCAGAATTCTGGGTGCTGTAGTTGGTTTGTCAGGTTGCTGCGAATTATAGCCCTGTGAGGGGTAAACTGCAGTACCCAGAATTTTTTGAGGAAGTTGATGTGCTTTGAATGTGCTGTATACTGTGCAAGCAGCCCCGTTCCTAACAGGAACCAGTCACCACAATCACCCACTGAGCCCCCTATGAAACTCCCCCCCAGCCCCGCCCCAGCAACACACACACAAAAAATCTAGAGAAAAGCTCCCATTGCCCTAGTGAGTTTCCCCTGCTAACTGTTGCCCATGTGTTCAGAAGCATGCAGACTGATAGATCTATAGGTGAATTGTGGTAGGCCAGCAAGGGTTTTTGATTCCCAGTTGTCTTAACAACACCTTAAAAGCTCTCCTCCCTTCAAAGAAAAAGAAAATAAAAAAGCGTTGCTGAAATTTGGGGGTGGGGTGGGAACCAACCAGAAGTGGATTTTTTTTCCTGTGAAGGAAATTGTGAGCTCGCTTCTGGTGCTGATCACATCTGCTCAGAGGCATCCTGTTAATTCTTAGGCTGGGTACACACCACACATTTAAAGCACATTTCCCACCCCCACCCCCACCCCCAATTCTGGGAAGTGTAGTTTACCCCCTCACAGAACTACAATTCCCAGCATATATAACTACACTTTGGCTGGGGTGGGTGGGTAGGTATTGTGCTTTTAATGTATGGTATGTATGACAACATTTTGCACCTCAGGTTAGACCTTAGGGGTCTAAGTAAGTAAGTAAATATGTAAGTAAGTAAGTAAATCAGCCTGAAGTCTGTCCACCCTGGGATTAGTTTATTCCTCTAGTGGTGAAACTTTAAGAAGCTCTCACGTGGCAAGTGTATTATGTGGGGGTGTCCCAGTACATCCTGCTCAGAAGCAAGGCCTCTTCTCCCTGTGCTGGTCCTATGGCTTCCCTGTGGTGTGGCTGAGAAAGTAAAGGATCGAAAATGTGAAGCTGTGGAGTCACCATGGCGACTACTGGATTCTATTCCCAGCTGGCTTTCCATCTCTTTTCCCTTTCCTTTCCCCCCTTGTTTTTTGTAGCCGTTCAATTGAGAAATAGCTGCTCTCAGAGGGGGGGGGGAAGCGAAGACTTTGATGCCCTTAGTTAAAATGTGGTATTATTATGCCCTGTTGCTTTTAGTTCTTTTCTCCTCCCCACCCCAAGAAAAGCTTTAAAAAGCTTTAAAAACAAGTACACACCAGGAAAGAATAAATCGTGGATTGTAGTTAGTGGTATTCCTACTCAGAGTACTCCTATTAACATTTATGAGCATGACTAACGTAGCTCCATTGGTTTTAATGGATCTTCTCTGAATGTAACTTGGTTGGATGCAACTCCATGTTTTTACACTTATGGGAACTTGATTACATTAACAGTGGGCTCATGAGCCTTATTTCCTTGCACATACTAAGAGGGGCTTTTAAAGTTTTTATTTATTTATGTATTTATTTAAATAATTCCTATACCGCTTCACATTTGCAAAGGAAACAATCTCTTATCAGTTTTGTAACCTGCCTTAAATAATCAAGTAGAACCTTACAAACGATCAAGCAGTAGAAATGGGAATCAGACACAATTACAATGCTGATGCACATTTAAAGAAGCATAATAACAAGAAAACAAAATATTATCCTAAACATTTTAAAAAACTTTAAACATTAAAAAAAAACCAAATACAAAAATAAGTGCCTCCAGATGATTAGCTGGGTGTAACATCCTGATTCTTGGAGAGTTCTTCCCATGCTCCCTTTTGCACCTTCAAATCTTATGCCTTGCTGTGGAATACCCAAGGAGGTGTACAATAAATTGATAGCCTAATTAGCCATCATTTGTAAGCCACCACACAAGCTCATTCATAGGTGGAAGCGGATCGTTTAGGTTGCAATCCTGGGTATACTTAAGTGCTATCTGCACCATAGATTTGAAGCACCATCACACCACTATAAATGGTCAGGGCTTCCTCTGATGATACAGTTCACATAGTGGTTTAACAATCAACCCCTCTTCCCAGGGAACTCTGGTAATTGTAGTTTTGTGAGGGGAAGAGGGGGTCTCCTAACAACTCCCAGCTCCCTTAACAACTCTCAGCTCCCTTAACACTTGCCAGAATTCTTATGGGACGGAGAAGCGGTATGGTACTTTTAAAGCAGTATCATATTTAAAGCATTATCGTGCAGATTGGGCCTATATGTCCATCTAGACCAGTATTGTCTACTCTGACTGGCAATGACTCTTCAGGGTCCTGGGCAGAGGTCTTCTCCATCGCTACTGACCTGGTTCTTTAAACTGGAGGTGGAATCTGGGACCTTCTGCATTCAAATCAGGTGTTCTGCCGCTGAGCTTCAGCACTTCCCTGGGATCTATGGTTGCTGTTTGTAATCCAGCCTGATACTTGCAGACCGCTATAGCAACCTCTGCTCTCAGAATCTCCCAATAGCAGAAATGGGGTTCCTTCACCTATCATTTAAGTGACTGGCTGCTACTGGGACTCAGGAGTTGAGCACTGCGTCATTGCGAGGAGAGTAATCTCAATCAGAACCGATCAGTGTCAGCAGCCATTTTAGGTTTCCTTGGGAATCTGCTTAGCAACAACATTTCCAAACCACTGGCAGGTCTGCTGGCAGGGTGGGAGATTTTTTAAAGTTTGAGTTGATATTTATTTTTGATTTGATATTTGTATTTTCCACTTTTCTAAGAGCATTGTGGAGCTCAAAGTAGCTCACCATAATAGTAGCATTAAAAACGGACAAACATCAGTACGTATAATCAAAAAGCACAATAAGGTAACCCATAAAACAATTAATAGCAATTGGCACAAACTCATAGTGGTTCAAAATATCAGAAACGTCTGGGCTGCTGTCACCTTCCTTTTCCTCCTCCTCGCCCCCAAATCTCAGTGGTGCAGTTAGGTATTGTTAGACTTTGGTCTTATTCTCCCCATCTCTTTGCACAGTAACATAGGTAGGTTATGTCAAAATATGGTAAGCCAGCCTTTCTGCATCTGATGTCTCCCTAAAACCCTTCCTTGGTGGCGCCACTGCCAAGTCCAAAAGCCTTCAGACCCATAGCAAAGGAATTATGGGGGTGCTCTCTAACTAGCTGCCTTCTCTACTCCCCTCCCACCAGCTGAGGAATGAATTCTGTGTGTTCTTGCTGTGCCTTTTGTGTGTTTCCGTGTGACTTTTGTAGTCCTGGAGCCTTCCTTGGCAAGTGGGCGGGGGGAGGAGAGAAGGAGACTATCCATATGTTGTATGCCACCTGGGGCACAGACTTGTGATCCTGACTTCTTCATTAAAGCTTGTGGGAGTTTGATTTCTCCAGGGCTCCAGTAGTGGTGTTGCTTGCGGTCTTCCTTCTGCAGTGTGACCTGTTTGCAGAAACACAACCTGAGGCTTGGGTCTCTCTTGGTGAGAAATCCCTACCCTCAAACAGTCATGCATCTTTCCAAGAGTAGCCTAAGATGAGCAGTGCATTGGGGGCAGGCATCCTTCCTTGGGCAAAACCTGGTTCTCCCACAAGCAACAAACTGAAAGCTGTTGCAGAAAGGTGGTGGTTTAATAAATTAACCCTATTTGGCATGGAAATGCAAGGTTGATTGGCTGGCTGCAACCTCAAGCCTACTCAGTGGTGGAGCAAGTGGCGTAGCGTGGGGGGAGGCACAGGGGCAATTGCCGTGGGCACAAAATTGTTAGGGTGTAAAATTTCAGCCTCAATACAGCTGGTAGGCACACCCTGCTATGTGTGAGTTGTCATTCTCACCCTTTTAGGTGAATGAACCAGTAGCCTGTTGGCCATTATTGTGCACAGCATGCAATTGCACAAGGACCTATACTTGCTTCTGCTTAGATCCCTTGCTGCACTAATCAGTTATTTCCCATTAGTGAACACATCTGAAGTCTTAACGTTCTTTAACTTGTGCACTGTTCAGGCTGGGGGAGGTGTTTAATGGGTGGAAAGAACAGGAGTAACAAAGAGCCCCACTTTAAACAAGACCAATTTCCCCCATGGTAGTGTGTGCTTGTACAGTCCCACAGACACAAATAAAAGCCACTGAATTTGGCCTCCCAGAAAAATAGTCTGTTTTTAAAAGAGAGAGAAAAGCAAGCAAGTAGGTTTCTTAGTTTGCTTGAAAACATGTGAACAACGGATGCTGCAGCCTGGGGAATTGCAAACTTAAGTTTCCAGTGGTTTGTGAGGTGGGGGGCTACAGCACCCTGGCCCTTCCCCATTATAGCAAAGTTCAAATAAGTTAGGTAAAATCAGGCAGGTTTGCAAAATTATGCAGGTCAGCTTGTAGTATTTCAAGTCTTAGCACAAGATTTTTTTGGTCTGTGTGTGTGGTTTTGTTTTTAAAAAACCAAGGCAGAAAACACACCATCCCAAGGGATAGCACAGAAGTTACAGGAGGAACAGGGAGCTGTTGCCCTCCAGAATATGTTGCTGGACTACAACTCCATCATCTCTGACCACTGACTGCGCTGCCTGGGGCTGATGGAGTCTAGCCATATCTGAAGGGCCTAAGTTGTCCTTCCCTGAGTGATAGGGCGTAATCTGTGTGAATATCCCAGGAGTGGGTCTTGCTCTTCCCCTTCCTGGAGTGCATCTGTCCACCCACGAAATGGTATTTGCACTGTGAGAAGTGTCTAAACAAACTCTGGACATTTACAGGATTTGGTCCTCCATGTGGGGGTGGAAACAGTGTCTTATTCTCAAGAGATGTCTCAACAGCAGGAGTGTCACCTCAGGTTTTCGTTTTGCTTTTCAGATGATGGGCTGGGAGAAAAGGGATAAGATTTACTGCAAAATGCAATGATCTCCTCTTGGATACCTTTTTAGCTGTCCCAAACAACAAGAACACACAAACAAACCATACAATTAATAATATTTTTTCTGATTACCTTTTTTCGTACCACAGAATATCTAGAAATCTCTTTGCTTATAAGGAATTTGTATGTAATGTCTAAAATGGGCTGGGGGGAGAAAGTGTTATTTTCATCAAAACACACAGAGAGAGACTGTTCTGAATCACTGTTCAACCATTCTGGGACTGAACTCTTGACATCTCCTTTGAAAGTACCCAGTTCCTTTCACTCATGTTCATGAGAGTTACTAATTCTTAAATTAGATTTATACCCCATTTCTCACCCAAGATGGCTGAAAGAAGCCCATGATAAAAATCCATTGTAATTATAGTCTCTGATGCGGCATTGCTGATCTCCCTCCACAAGTCTCTGCATATCTGTCTTTTAGTAAGACCCTGTATTATATGGGTGTGGTTTTTTTTGCTAGTTTCCATTGCAGGTTTGGCTGGCCATTAGACACCCCCATGAGTGCAAATCTTAACATTAAAACTGGTCTGAGGCTTTAACACT